AGTGCATAAATTAAGGAAGAAAATAGTCTTTATGCTTAAGGGGTCATAGGCTTTGTAAGGTGAAAGAGATAACACAAACCACATGACCAGTTTCCCTTTATGCTACTCATAGAAAAATTTCTTTCCTTTGAGGTCATTTACACCTCACTTCCAATTTCCTGAAAAGCTCATTTAAAACAATCCCATACAGAAGCCTATTTATGATCTTACATTTCTGATGTGGGGATCCGAGGCCCAGAATGTCCCTTCCGGTCTGTGAGCCTTTGCTGTCACATCGACTGTGTGATATAATCCCATTATTTTATCAGATTTCATCTTAATCACTAGGTTTCCTGGACCTCATTATTCCTAAAAGGAAGCTGTTTCAATTTCCAGTCATGGTTTGATTATCATCCTAAACATCATGCTCTTTTTCCTGCCTGATATTTAGCCGCAAAAGAAGTCACAAAATCACAGCTTTAGTTTTTGCCATGCTAAATCATACTCGCTCCTTCAGCCTCCTGTCACGTCATGCTGGTAGCTGTTCTTGGTTCCCATTCCAGTGAGCATTAGGCTTTCTGGTTTTGTCTGTGTGAAGGCTCACCAGTGACACATCAGCAATGGCTGTGTGTTTCCTTACCTCTCCTGGAAACAATTTTCCTAATTCATTCTAATAATAAATTTGTTTGATACAGGGTGACATCAAATGGTTAGTTATAACCGTTTGTAAATTATAACCATTTGTAGGTCAACAAATATGGTCAGATTTTCCTTCCTTTTCTTCTCCCTTTTCTAACTGATAACCCTACAGCTCTTCAGTTATAAGAGGCCTATTTCTGGTCTGTGAGTGTAAATGTTTGCATTTTTGTTACTGCAACCCAAAACATGGTCCAGTTTCTTAGATAGTATTTTGATCATCTTCTGTATTGACTAAGATGCCCTACTTTGTAATCAGCCAATGTCACTAATCCAGTCCTAGCTCTTAATTCCTAAATTAGATTGAGAATTGTCCCAAAGACAACCCACAAGATGTTTAACTTTTGCTTTACCTCCAGCCTAATGTTCCCCTTTCAACACAGGCTGTGATCAGTCCCCCAACCTCCTGTTTCCCAGTTCCTCACGCATCTTAAAATTCCTGTGCTGATAGCCCTCCTTCCCTCCTTAACTAGTAATTTCCCAGGGGGGACCAGCTATCACTGAAGTGCTTTCTGGATTCAATTGTTCAGGCACCATTCTGTGAGATATTGTCCAACTGGTACAGGGTACCACTGCTGAGCATCCTCCAGTGCCATTACAGTGACGGGAGCAGAGGGCCCTCAGCATGTTTCAAAACGTTACTGATTTGGGCTGTAATTCATCGTAAGGACCCCTCCTCAGCAGGATATCAAAGGTCTGCTCTTTCTTGCTATGTTGGCTGTAAGGAATTTACTTTTTACACTTTATAACTGCAGATTTAATGGCTGTAGTCATAATGCAATTGCCATTTAGTACTTTTCTCAGCCCATCTTTTCCAAAGGTGCAGTGCAGTCTCTCCTGACTCTGTTTCAAGCATAGATTTTCAGTCTCATGCAAAATGTTTAAAAGCATTTCTAACATAATTTAAAGAGTAGAAACCTAGCTTACAACTGTGCTATTAAGCATTTTTAAATTCTCTCACCTCTTCAACTGACTTTACTTTTTTTTTTTTTTAAATAGCAGACATCATACTAGGTAGGCTGCTGGTTTCAGTAGTTTTAACAACTGATTTTACAAGATGGCTATATAAATTCGAATACCATTTTGTTCCTTACTTAAATCTAGGTGAAAGAACTAGTGGGGCAGCATCTATCCTTTTAACATGCATTATTGTATTTGCTGTGATTTTGCATAACAAAAATACTGTGAAACATCTGTAGTATTCACTTTGCTTGAGTTTTGGCAGGTGGATTATCTCACCAATGTGGCAACAATAGTATACAAAACATGGGAAAAGGTCATCCCTGTTTAAACTTCCATCTATGTGTCATTGGGTCAAAGGAGGCAGTAGTCTGTCAGTGAAGAAAATTGGTGGAGTTTTTTTCCCTCTCTTAAATAGCTGTAGAATTTATGTTGAAAAAGAAAAGAGGTTATTTTTCTTTTGTAGAAGTTTTCCTTCCCTAATAAAATACTGTTCACGTATTTTTTAAAGTGTCTTCCAAGAATCCCAACTACAATACTGGTTGAAAGAGAGAAGGATTAATATCATTTAAAGGAAAGAAATGGAAAATCTTTAAGGTCATTTCTTTTCGTGACAAAGAAACTTAAAAAGCATGGCAGACAGGATCTTCAAAGGTTTTTAGAGTCCTGTCATCAGCTCCCAATCAATAGGAGTTAGATACCCAAATTAAGAGTTCAGTTCAAGTCTTCAAAGGTATTTGGGTGCTTAACCTCCTTTTACCTTCCAGATCACTTCTAAGGATAAAATGGCAGTTCGACTGAAAACATTTTGGGGCGATACTTTCATGTCCAGCACCTGGATAATTTGTAGCACCCACTGATAATTAGCATAATGGCCACTTCTCTTGCAAGTTCGTTACTTGGTAGAATGTGTGTAGAGTTGGTCCTGTATATGAAATTGTTTTCCTTTGTGATACAAAAAGTTTGCTTCAAAGTTTTTTTAATACAGAAAAAAATCAGAAGTAAACTTTAAAAGGTGAACTAATAAAATAGTGTTAATGTTTGCAGAGGCTGATAATTTCAGTGAATTTGGAACGCTCCCGAGTCTGTATTCCCTGAGGATGCAGATGAAAATGATTTCTGTGTAACATGCCATACACGCGCTGTTCTAGGCTTTGCCTTTCCCAGTCCGTGCTTGCACATCTGCCTGTGCAGGATGAGGCTCCTGCCAGATAACTGAAGTTCTTATCAATGTAAAAAATTAAAGACCAGGTATAAATGTATTCAAAATATGTTGCCTAGCATAGGTTTTCCATACACTATTAATGTCTCTCAAAGTTTGCCGAGCCTCCACCTAAAGGGGGATCCCACTGGGAACTGTATGGTGCATTCAGGACTGCCCCTGCCTTTTTTTTTTTTTTTTTGTGTAAGTATTTGTAAAAATCTTAGATGGTTCAGACGTACTTGAAGTATTCTGTCTGATAGCAGTGCCTCGGGCATACACAGTGGAAGTGGCAGTGCCCCGTGTTAACATGGAATTGCTGTTTGTTTACAGTCTTGAGTCACAGAATCCTTCCTGTCAAGCAGAAAGCGTTCATTATAAGGCAGGCACTTACCGTCTCCGCAGCCCGCTCTTGAGTGACATCAAAACATAAGCCGGAATATTATTGTCATATGCCTTAGAGTTCGTGAATGGGCCGTGGATCGCGAAGCCTCCAGCGCTGAGTGGCATGTTTGGTCTTCTGGAGGAGCAACTCTGCCTCTAGTCCAGCATTTGCATCTCTGAGACAGTTGTCACAGCTGCTCCCAGTAATGTTGACTGTCATGTTTTTTAGTGCAAATGCACCTCGTCTGAATAGCTAGGCAGAGGTTACACTCCACATTTTATGGATTTTCTTTTTGTTCTTTATCAGTCTGGTCTTTCTTTAGAGTCAGTGCTGAGAGCCAGTTGCTTTGAGGCTGGGAAGTGGACAGGGAAGATTAGACACGTTTGCTTTTCTGCGTTTGCATCCAACTTGGGGCCCTTCATCGCTCTAAAGAAAGAGCAGTCCCTGCTGCCCCCCTCGGCAGCACGGCTCCCAGCTCTAGGACCGGCTGCGGGATTCTTGCTCCCGCCACTGCGGAGGGGCAGCTGCTGAGCAGGAGGAAATGAGTCTCAGCAGGCACAAATCTATTGCCTGTCTTTTTATTCTTTCCATTTCTTTCAAACGGAAAACAATCTGAGCAGTTTCTGAGGATGAGGGATATCAATCTGTCTGCTGCTATTTATACCATGCTCGTCACTACGGTGTCTAAATGCTTAAAGTGTGTATTTGCTGCCTAACTTGAGATGGTCTTGAGGCCGCTTGGGCAGTCAAGAGCAGGTGTGTCTCAGGCCAGCAGCAGAGAGGCGTCCCAGGAGACGTCCAGGTCTCGTTCTTACTCCTGCTCGGGCTGAGGCAGGCTGGCTGTTAGGCACGAGGTTGTTGGGGTGTTGTGCAGTGGGAGGGTGGTAGCACAGACCTCCCTGCTTGACACGGTGTTGAATGGTGACCCAGAGGAGTGACTTGCATCAGTGCAATAAGCACCTGCTTTACCACCCAGTAATACTGAAAGGGAACGTTTCGTGTTCTGAGCCTCACAGACAGCACGGTGAGTGCTGTTCTTCTGCAGGTGGGTAGACAGCAGTGGATAAACTGCGTGGGTGTCTTTTGAACGAGGCCATAAAAATGGGTCTGTCTGTTCTGGATGGATATTTTCATAAGCAAATATCTTGCCTTTGCTTTTATTTGAATAATAAGATACCCTTTCCTCTCTGATCTCTTTCAAACATGCTTCACTTTCACCATGTGCACCTACGTATTATTCTTTATTCCCATATTCTACATGGACATTCAAATAATATTAAAACCACTGATTCACTGAAATACTTTTTAAACTGTTGTTGTTAGTCATTTTTGTATTGACTGAATTTTTCATTGGTAATATTGTTGGCAGCAGTCCACGTCTGCCTGGCTGGAGGCCAGTTTAAGCGCGGCAGGATGAGCCCTATTGTTCAGCAGACTTGGATTTTGTTAAACTCTCGAACAGAAATATGTGTCAGGAGATTTGCAGCTATAAATTGGATCATGTCGGTGAGGTTGGGAACTCGCTCAATATGAAATTGAACATTTCGCCATGCCTGTTGCTAAATATGTTTATGCATGTTTCCTCCATGGGTTTCAAAAAAAAAAAAAAAAAAGTAGAAAAAAAACCTGAAAAAGGCTAGACCTGTTGAGCTCTGTCTTTACCTTATGCAGCTGGTACTTTCTTTGATGTTGAGTGGTTGAAAAATGCAGCAGGCTTGGTTTTGTGCATTGCAATGTTAAAAGCAAGTCTATTTTCCCTTTTTTCTCTGTGTGTTACAGGCAGTCAGATGCCACCGCAGCCTCCTGGCAGCCAGTCAGAATCCAGCTCCCACCCTGCCTTGAGCCAGTCACCAATGCCACAGGACCGAGGTTTGTTAGGTGTTGGGGCTTTTTTAGTTGGTGCCAAATGCAGCCTTCATTTTAAGTCACACATTAGCGATGTGAGATTTCCTGGTATTTCTTTTCTTTTCCCAGGGAAAATAATGACAGTCCTCATTGTAAAAGGCTCGGGGGGTTTCCTTCTCTGGGGAAAGAGCAATTGAATAGCAGGTTTTACCAAAATATAATTGGAAACAAGGCTTTCTCAAAATAGAGTGAATGCCCAGAGTCTAAAGGCAGTTTGCTGTAAATAGCTGATTCATATCCTAGAGAATTCAACTTTTCGTTGTCTGTCTTGGAATTAAGATGTATAGAAATAGCAGTAGCTACGAGCATTGCAGTTTTGCTGCTGTTCTTAAAATTCTCATCTCTGATGTCTTTGCATGGACACGACAGCTAGTCCTCTAGCCAGTTCTAGAAATAAAAATATCTTTAAATATAAAGGGAAATCAACTGTTTAGGTCAAATGGTTCAAAGATTTAGAAATCTTGCAAGGGAAAACCTTGCAGGCAACAACGCTCTTCTAAAGGGTACTTCCTAGCAAGTGCTTACAAAAATAAACAGAGGATTTTTTTTTCTTAATGTTACCATTTATAAACTTTTAAGCCCTTTTCCTTTCGCCTCCTTCCGCCCTAGCTCATTGAAGATAGTTGTCACAGCTTTGTTGCGTGGCCAGACGATCAGCTGCTGTAAACTGGGCATCCTGTCCATGCAGTGGTTAACATGTGCCAGTGACAAGCTTGCAAAACAGACACATGATAACTGTGATAAACATGGAGTTATTTATGAAGTGCCCCTCCTAAAATGTCTTGCTACCAGAAATATTCCAAGTAGCACCATATGGGGATACCATAAATACTAGAAGTTTTCTCACAGTGAAACAAGTTGAACTCACAGAATGGCAAATTTCTGGGATAGCATCCAGGAAGAACTAAGAGGACTCACAAAGAAGAGGGGAGAGTCTTAATTTTTGCTGTTTTTCTGTGTTGGATGTCCCCTCCTCCAGGAATGCTGATTAATGAGAACATGAAACACACAATTCCACACTCAACTCGTTTGTTTCCTTCCTTTTCAGAGTGTTCTTTATATGCAGTTGTTAGTGCAGGGACTTATTTTCCCCTTAAAAAATTTTTAGAATAATGTACATGTTTGGTGAAAAAAGAATGGCCTCAGTACCCAATACGAATATATGATGTTTTGTGGGATAGAGTGTCACAAGGCAGTGGGAATGGATCAGACTGAGGCTTTGAAGACCCAAACACCTCAAAGATGTGTGTGCTTGCTGGCATGACTGGGTCTTGGCACAAAATGTTACACGGCCCAGCAATAATTATTTCTGCAGTGTGTGTTCCTCACCTGGCTTTGGGGGACGAGTTAGGCAGGTCTGACAGAGCTGGAAGGATCGAACCTCTCCGTTCCTGCTGTAGACCAAAACTGGGGGACGTCGTATGGTCGAGGGAGGCAGAGGAGTATTCAAAAGTAAAATAGAGAAGACAGCTGCCATAACTGGGAAGTCAAAACAAGTAAATAACAGTGAGAGAAATAAAACTTACAGATTGATTTAGTCTGGGTCTTTCTCTGTGTGTGGGGGTGAGAATTGTGGGTATGTTCTTAGAGAAAATGTATTTGGGAATGTTGCAATTTTTGCACTCTTCATATGCAAAATCTGGCGTAATATGCATGATCCTTGTGACCCAGCTTGTACAAGAAGTCCATTTGTTTCATGCAGCAGATATGAAATTTGTAACTAGCTAGGTCATATTGATTTTGCAGAACATGTTCCCCAAAGCTTCTCTAAAGTCTGTGCTATGCGCGCATAAACATGCGTGCATTCCCTTTTGCGCCCTGTCATTGATTAGAGGCTCCTTTGAAATGGAAAACTTCACCTTTTAAAAAGGCTGTTACATTAGTTGATTCCTTTGCTTGCTTGAACTGGTTTCCACTGAACTTGAAGAAAGGAAAGAGGGGGAGTGATGGGGACTCAAAGGGAAGGTGCTTGTCATTTACTGATAAAAACCCGAGCAGAAAATCGTTGCTGCTAAGGACACCTGATCCATAGGCATCTGTTACAGTAACTTAAACTCTTGGCTTACTGATACACTTTCTCCCCCAAAAAGAAAAGAAACAAAAAGGAAAATGAAAACAAAAAACCCAGAGACCCTCCATAGGAAAAGGTAATGTTGTTTGGTTTAGCACTTTGTATAACATTTCTTCCTTGTTTAGAGACAGAATTGAGTGAACAAAAGACTGCTAATCATTTCTTGAGCAGAATCCTCTGTTTCAATACTAGAAAAAAGTTATTTACCAGATATTGTGAAGCTTGATTGACAGATGGAGTCTGAGCTGTAGCACTTCTGGATGCTAAACCACTACCTTGAACCATTAAGTTTACACTTATTTATTTTATTATGAAAGTGTTTGATTATATTTTACCCTACTTTCCATGGTTATTCAGCACCCAGCTGGGATTTTTATGTTTGCCTGCCTAAGGCTATACATCCCCTGTCATACAGTGCAGCATGAAGCAATATTTTACATGTGCATTCTGTGTGTAGAAGGGGGGGAGTGGTAATGTAGGTACATATGTACAGTAATAGGAATTTCTTGGGGGACTGAATTTTCTGTGCTCTCAACTTGCTTTTTATATAGCTTACTTCATACTTTTTGTAATAAACATAAAAACGCTTGCTTTTTAAAAATAATTTGAAAATTTTTCATGTCCTTCTCAAGCTGTAGGACATTTGGACCTGGCTCGGCGTAAATGGAGCATGTTATTCTAGGCAGCCCACTTCTGTTCTTGTCCCAGAATCGGTAACTGGCCTCTATTGATGGATGCTCAGTCAATGAAACTTTTTCAGTTCTACCAACACGTGTTGTCTACCTAGGCAATAAGAAATTGCGTGTACTTTTATGTGCATACCCTATATCTCGGCTCACATGTCTTTGAAAGTACTGGGACTTGAGGTAAGTCCCATAAACCTTAATGGACTGTCGGAGCCGGAGAGCTCTGGAGACAGAGGGAGCAGGCTGTGCAGGACTGGGGTCAGAAGTCTCTTGGAGAAGCAGGAGTAGCCATACCCGCTCACCTACACATGCCTTTAACTGCTGCTGAATCCCAGCAATTACCGTTACTTGAAGATACTGCAGTGAAAACGTAGCCTAATTAAGCTAGTCATTGAAACTTGCTGTGCTTTTGGGGGGAAAGGGGACGCACGTTTTGCTTTTTGTTTCTGATGCAGCTACTCCAGATTTTTCTTTACTATGATCAAAAGTAGGGGTTTGATTTTTCGTGTTTATTGAAGTCAAAGCTTTTTATAAACTTCAGTTACATCAGCCCCCAGAGGTAGGGCAGCGGTGATACCACAGCTGTCAGCCATTTGGCACATAATTGAGGTACACAGTCGCTTGAGTTTCCTATATTCAGCTGTACCTACTTATCTCATCTGTTTGGGTTTTGGAAGCCGCACTTTGAGGATGTGCTTAGTAGCCACAACTGCTCAGTGGGTTAGAAGTTACTTGTATGGATCAAATAGAAACCCAGCGTATCCGCATTGACCCCCGACATCAGTTTCCTGAAGCTGCAGTGTGAAAAAGGAGCTTTCCGTCCTGGCCAATAGCTTATGCTCCCACTCTTACTTCTGTAACGTAACGGAGACGTCCATCTGCGTATATGAATACTGACCTATGCAAACACCAATAGGAGAATATGTGTCACGATAATGTTGAAATAGGCACTTTTGCCCCTGCAGAAATGAATGGTTCCTTACCTAATTTTGAAAAAGCTTAGAAAACTTAACTACTTTTAAGTAGTATTTTTCATGCTTATCCAGTTGGATTTGTACGTGTCAGGTTTCAGTCTTATATTAAAATAGTGAATTGGGAGCTCCTGAAAACCATTGAATTTAATGGAAACAGTTAATGACTTCCCATTATTACTCTAGCAAGCACTCTCATAATGGGGATACTTAAAGAAGCCTTATTTATTAGTGCAAATGTATATGGGTCAGAATTAATTTTTAAAAAATCTTTAATTGTTTTCCCCTTATAATTTTCACAGCGGTACGTAGTTAAATATTCATGATAATGCTGATGATATGCTAAAGGTCTGAAATAGATCTGGAGTCTCAAAATCAACACAGGTTATTTAACCCTTTTCATCTAATGCACCATTGGGGACTTGCTCAGTGAAATCCCAGAGCACTGGAATAATTAGAAGATAGTAATGAGGATTTAATTAGTCCTTGAGATATGCTGAAATAGGACCACTGAGAACTTTTCTGTTTGGACATGGATTGCAAGCAGAATTGATGCCGTTGCAGCTGCTGTGATGTGCTGGAAAATGTATTCTATTGCTGGAGGCAGTTTCATGGCACCATTCTGTGCCTGTCAGATCTATGTGGAAAGTGCCCAGAGTAAGCACCTCCAAAATTGGTGAATAGTAGCCACCGCCTTCTCCATCACCTCCACCCAGTACCTTTTCTTTTTTCTTTTTTCTTTTTTTATGTCATTCTTTCCGTTCTAGCTTTATTTCTTTCCGTTGTTGACATGATCCAGCTTTTGAGGACTGTTGTACAGTTGTATGCTCTATTAAAAACATATCACAGGCGGGGACAGGGAGTAAGAAACTGCGGGCTTGTCGGAGTACAGGTGTTATACTAAGCAAAATTTGGATCTTTTTGACACAACTGCTTGTGAGCCTTATCCTCAGATCTAGTCCTTATTTAGTATTAGATCTTCACAGACGTGATATTTATCAGTAGCTGCAATGTAGTAAATTTAAACAGCTTTTTTGGCAGCCAAGATGTTATCCAGCTAGAGGTAGTAACAGATGGGATGTGATCAGGCATTTTGATGTTCTCTTTGTGCTTCCCTATGAACACTAAGTAGCAACTGAATTCCCGTAACTACAATTTTGTGATTTGCCCATTAGATTTCATATAGGTATTTTTCTCCCCTTCAACTGTTTTCTGGGCATACTTGTTTGTACGCAG